AAAAAAAAAAAAAAAAAAAAGAAAGAGATGTGGCAGTTTGGACCAGTGATGGCAACAGGGGTGGGAAAAGCAAAACAGATGGACAGTTAACTGTATGAACTCACAATTGCTTGGTTCTTACCTAAATTTCTGTCTCTTTGGGTTGCTGTCTTCATCATCCAAAGCTTCTTTTCTATTTCCATATGTGATGTATCTCGTTTGAAGGGTTGATGCCCTGTGAAAATGCAAAGTCACAAGGTGAAAATGAATACACTAGAGTTTCAATATATCAGCAATTTGAGCGGCAAGTGCATATTCAAGACACTGAAAACAGTGTTTTTCAAAATTTTATTTAAGTCATGACTCATCAAAGAAACACCATTTATTTCATGACCCTGACAAATATGCATAAATATATATTATGAAAACCAAGTTTAAATAACCTATTTCTAACTAATGTCTGTTTTCATTAACTTTCCTCCCATTGGTGCTCACACCCCTCATGCATTTAACCAGAGTTTTTGCTGCAGTGTGTTCCATTCTTTCTAAGGAGCTCTGATATTTTCTACCTTATTTTATTTCATTAAAAATTACTGGTGGGATTCAATAAATTGGTTTTATAATTCACTAATGAGATGGGAGTGAAATCTGAAAACAAACGGACAAGGTATAAGAGTATTCTGTCCATTTACAGATCTTTTATAAAATACAAATGAAGAAGACCTGAAATATCCTGTTCCAAAAGACCAGAAACATCTTGGGTCTCTCTGCTTCCCCATAGGAACGAGGGAAGGGCAGGTCCCCATACTCAGGAAACCATTTTAAGAGCCTCAAAGCCTAAAACTGTAGGGTCACAAAGATACTACAGAGGGAGGCTGTCCTCACCCACTGAGAGCAGGTTCCTGAAGTTCTCCAGCATCACATCTCGGTACAGCTCCCTCTGGGCAGAGTCCAGCAGTCCCAGCTCCTCCTCAGTGAAGGCCACAGCCACGTCCTTAAAGGTCACTGCCTCCTACAACAAAAACACATGACCTCAATCTTACAAGCAATGTCCACTGGAGCAGGGGTAACACAAAGCGGGAAAGATGGGTGGGAAGCTGCTCTGGAAGCTGAGGCATTTGTAGTAGAATTCCCAGCCCTTGTCCTTCTCTCTTGCCACTGCCATACTCTGATTTCCCTCGGTTTTACCAAAAGCGCTGCTATGAAAAGGAAAGCTTTGTATGTTTGCCTGGTGCTCTCAGTGAGTATCGGTGTAAGTAAACTCCCTAGAACTCTAACTGTTGCATCCTGAACTAAAAAGGTTTTACTTTTTAATTAACACTGCCAATTTCCCCAGAAATGTTTACCAATTTAGTCCCAACAATGTTTGATAGCACCTGCCTTCCCACGGAAGTGGGAGCCAGGTGAGGAGTAGTGTTATACATGGAAATAAACCAAAAGGGCATGTCAGGTCTCTGAATGAAAGACTCTTGGTCCCTCTTCTCCTGTCGTGGTCTTTCACTTGAATATAACACCTTGACTCCAGATCCTTGGTTTCCATGTGAACTTGACCAGATTCCTCATTTTTTACAATGCTTTTTCATGTTTAAAATGAAGATAAAACCAAGTATCTCCTCATACAGTTGCCCTGAGGTGTAAACACAGGAACAGAGCACAAGTGCCTGGCAAGTCCTCTGATACCACTAGACTTTTTTAAAACTAAGGTCACATATTACTTCGATTTAAAACAAAAGAAAAGAAAAACTCAAAGGAAAAAAGATAGGCCAGTAAATAAAATATACACAGGGTATGACTGAGGCATGGATAAGACAGAATCTAGCTCTTATCATGAAAAAAAGTCTAACAGTATTTTTTCTGAGTGAAGCAAATGTTAAATCCTGACACACTGTGCCATATTTGAATATTCTATCAAAAACATCCTAAGTACTACATACAAAATGTACCTTTTCAATTCTGAATACCTAATATGTTAAAGGGCAGCATTTTTCAAAAATTGACTTTTTGGGAAAAATACAGGAAAACTGTCACTACAGTCTCTAAAACAGTAAAAATCCTCAACTAGAGAGAAAATAATTTAAAAACTGGGTACATAAATTTGATGGGAATATGACATAACAGTTAACAATGAATGTTATATAATAGTAAATAAAATATTTTAAATTGTATCTGGGTTATAAATGCAAATATATAACTTAAGTACCTACGATGAAGAGATTACAGAAATATAAAAGCAGCCAATTTGTAAGTGGGGAAGTAGTAAAGTAGAAGATGTTTCTTATTTGTATTAGCTTTTCTACTTTTATTTGTAAAATAAAAAAGGATGAAATAAAAAAATTAAAACCCAAACCAGTTAAATTTAAATGACCCGAAATAAGTACCTGGCACACTCAACAGGTCCTCAAATGCCTTGACTCTCCTTCAAAAAGAAACACATGTGCCCCATCTCTGAGTACAAAAATAGCATTTTTAATAGTGAGAAAAGGAAGCTCTACTCACCTTGAACTTACTCATTTTTAATTCTTCCTTCTGGGGAAGCACAGAGTCCTACGAAGGCAGAACTAGAAAAGAAGAGAGAAGTCAATGGAAACTGGGCAAGTATGTTGCTAATCCCTGTGGTTGCTCCTGGTGAAGTAGAAAACGTACTTGCTCCTCAGGATGGCTGCAGATATGTGGCTTCTGAGTAGAACATGTCATGGATCTCAGATATCCATCTTTACCCCTTTCAATATACAACCTGCCCAACCACACAGTGGCCCCCATCATCGGTGTGCCTGTACTTCCACGGCAGTTAATTCTTATTCTGGGTACAGAATAAATTGGGACAGTATCTAAGAGTAGACTCTGAAATTGAAACACACGGGTTAAAATCCTGGTACAGCTACTCACTAGCAGTGCCACCTCGAGGAAATTAACATGTCTTTGCCTCACTTCTGTCATCCGCAAGTGGGAGAGAAAAACAGTACCAACCTCATGGGATTATTTCAAGGTAGAAAGCTCTTAACATTGTCAGGTTTCATATTTCTTTGCAACTGCAGTTAGCAGAGGATAGTCTATAGCTCGAAATTATCCTTAAAAATGCAATTTCTACCATTAGAATATTTTAAGATGCCTAAGTTCACAGGTTGTTGCTCTGTTCATGTGAAAGTATCTTATACTTCTGAAAAATCTCTTGTTGTCTTTCTAATAAGTTGCTCCCTCAATGCTGAACTAATACAACCTAAGATACTGCAATTAAAAAAAAACCAGTTTGACAGTCCATACCTAATTTGAATGAAAAAGACAGGAATCTGAGTCCATAATGTTATAAATAAAGGAATGTATAATACATACATGAGTGAGAAGAGAAACCTCCTCTTATAGCCTAACACATAAACTAATAAATAATGAAAGACAACTAGAAAGTCATCAATGGATGCTAAAAATTATTAAGTTTGCTGAAAAATAAGATAGCTACATAGTCTTAAAGTATTAACTGCAAAAAGAAAAAAATAACCGGGTAGACCCTTATCCAAAAAAACAAAGTTAAGACCACCAGTGGGGGAAACTCATAAACCAACACAAATCCTTCTATGATGCACTGAGAAAGATGACTCACCACTTTTGTGGCATCTTTGCTGATAACTCACTGTCTGAATTTAATCATGAACAAATATTAAATTAAAAAATAGGGACATTTTACAAAATAATTTGCCAATACTCTACAAAAATATCAAGAACAAAAAAGAAAATAAAATCTAAGGAGTCATTCTAGATTCAAGGTGACCAATGAAACAAAAACTAAGTGCAATGCATACAATTAGACTGGGCCTTGGGGGGGTGCATTTGTTCTCAAAGAGTTTACTGGGAAAACTGAACAAATTTAAATGTGAACTATAGATTAGATACCAATGTGTTATCAATGTAATTAATTTCATTTTGATCACTATCTCTAGCTTGCTCTCAAATGCTTAAGCAAAAAGCCAAAAACAAAATATAAGTATGATAAAGTTGTGAAAGAAGAAGAAGAAAAAAATTAGCTCTGACAGCTAATAGCAGCAACCGCCAGAACTTGGTATTTTCAATTTATCAGCAAGAACTAGACAGGGCCATTCAGTGATCATGGTGAACAAGATGGTCTGTAACACAGAGACAAATACATTCCACAATGACAAAAGTAACCAAATGACCGCCTCTCCCAGCTAACACAAGTGACTACTTCATTAAAAGTGACAACTACAGTCTCATTTTGTTTCCGCACCTCCTATGTAAAAATTACTACAGTATTCAGTTATCAAATTACTCAGTAATGACAGTATTGAATCATACTGCCCAAAACTTTCCCCAACTCAGCTAATACAAGCCCAAACCATACAATCAGCCCCTCCTAATTGTCTCATACCAAGACACCCCATGCATGATGATTCCCTGTGGTGTGTGGGCTTCCTTGCTGCAGCAAGTTAAAACAAACTGTCCTTGATTATAGGTATATTCCTGGTGGTATTTGGCTTAGGGTCATCAACAGAGCAAATAAGCAAAATGTAAACAACTGGTGAATCTGGGTTAAGAGCATATGAATTTCCTTATACTATTTTTTGCAACTTTTCTGTCAGTTGGAAATTATATAAAATTAAAAAAAGAAAGGAGGAAATAGTCATAGTAATAACAACAGTAATAAAAACAATTGTAATGGCAATGAAGATAATGATGACAATTGTGGCAATAACATCTAACATTAACCAACAGTAACTAGTAGTTGATATCCCCACTTTTGGGAGAAGTGCTCCAGTACAAAAGAGGGCAATGAATCCACTTATCCAAAGCCTGGGAGAAATGTATCTTCAGGACTTCTAAGTTTCTCCATTTTGATAGACTTGCCAGCTGCCTTCTGCTCATGTCATGATTTTGCATAGAGACATGACAGTTAACAGTATTTAGTGGGAAGGAAAAATCATTGGATTGAGTGAAGTTCCAATACGGTCAGCTCAGTTTTATCTGTGATATCTGACAGGGTCGGTTTCCTAGACCTGAGTTTCCAAATAAGACTCGTTCCTGAGCTTCTCAAACTTTAAACGTGCACAGAAATCACCTTGGGATCTTGTTGAAATGCAGATTCCTGGGTCCCCTCTGTGAAAGTTCTAAATCAGAAGATCTGGGCATTTCTACTCAGGCGATGCAATGCTGCTGGTTTGTGGATGACCATTTGAGTAGGACTCCAGTGCACTATCAGGCCCAAAGAGCCCCAATTGAACAGAAATATACACAAGAATAACCTGACAAAATGGCACTGAAATGTTAATAATTGTTATCTTTACATGCAAAGGCTATGGGTAATTTAAGTTTTTTAAAAATATATTTCTGTATCTTCTGAGTTTTCCATGATTACATGTTCCTTCTATATTAATTCAAATTTGAAAAATGAAATAGTTGACAAAATTACTTTTAAAAACTCAGAAAACAGGCTGGGCGCCGTGGCTCACGCCTGTAATCCTAGCTCTCTGGGAGGCCGAGGCGGGCGGATTGTTTGAGCTCAGGAGTTCAAAACCAGCCTGAGCAAGAGCGAGACCCCGTCTCTACTAAAAATAGAAAGAAATTAATTGGACAACTAAAAATATATAGAAAAAATTAGCCGGGCATGGTGGCGCATGCCTGTAGTCCCAGCTACTCGGGAGGCTGAGGCAGGAGGATTGCTTGAGCCCAGGAGTTTGAGGTTGCTGTGAGCTAGGCTGACGCCAAGGCACTCTAGTCCAGGCAACACAGTGAGACTCTGTCTCAAAAAAAAAAAAAACTCAGAAAATAGACCAAATCTTGCTCTCAAATTCCCTGCAGTAAAATCCCAACCTAGCTTCACATGATACCAGCCAGTTTCCTATGGCTCAGGGAGAATATACCAAAGAGATCATGAACTCAGGTCCAGACTCAGACTGCCTAGACTCCAGCGCTTGCTCTGCCTCCTGGATAACTGACTATAGGCAAACAGGTGTGTCTGTCTCCTCACCTTTAAAGTAGGAAAGATAGCGGCACCACTTCAGAGAGCCACGATTTGGTGGAAAGGTGTCTGTCCTTAGAATGAGACTTAGCAACTAGTGCTTCATTGTAATTGTAACCGGCTCCATAAGCAAGAAAACGTTTTCTCAATAGCGTTTTTAGTTCCCTCATATTTCAAATGAGTTTTCAGTGTTCACACTGTGGCTAGGGCTGGCTGCTCTAAGTCACCTTGACAGTTTTATCTCAGTCCTGGCAGCTTAGCAGCTGTAGTCTCAAAACAGGCAGAAAATAGAAAGCTCTTGGTAAGATTTGCCGACCAGAACTTTGCAACTTTCTATTGCACTGATGCATTCTCTTTTGAGTTTTTTCCCCAGAAACGGTGGAATCTCCTTGCAGCCATAAGATAATTACAAAGCCTCACGCCACCTGTTTATCCCGAGAAGACAAGATAAGTGATACTCTACTATAGATCATCCCCAACGACCCACTGAGCCTGTGCACAGGCTGAAAGAATGACCAATATTAACCCCTAGCCCATTATAATACTAAAATCCCCACCCTGGAGAGAGACTTATATACCATTTTTTGATCATGGGACGTACGTGCTAGCATGATTTCCCAATGCGTTTGCCTGCCCCGCACTCCACCCCAAACACATAATGATGCTCACTCCCCTCTTGCATTATTCATTTTGCCTCCAGAAAAACCCCCTGACCCTGTTGGTTGGGGTGGTGAGGAGGCAATCTGAGGCAGTTCATACCTCCCCCACCCAGCAGAGGGGTCTACTGCAATAAATCCTTTCTTCCTTGACAATCCTTGTCTCACAATTGGCTGTCTGTGTGGGGAGCAACATTGAACCCCCCTTGTGGGTCTGTTAACATAATCACTTCCCATGCTCCAATACATGGCCCACATATTTTCTGATTTACGTAAATATCTTCGTAGAAGAAAAATGACAAGTCTTACTCACGTGGGGCTCTGCTGCCTCCTCCTCCGAACAGTGTTTTTTTGAGAAGTCAGGACTGGGGGAAGGAAAGAAGGTTGTGAAATATCAGGATTGTGTCTCCATCCCGAATAAATCACAGTGCATTCCCCAGTACCAGCTAGAAGCAACCCTCTGCTTCCTAAAAATGTCAGGAGTTAGGGGCAAACCATATTCATAGTTTCACAGAAACTCATTTAAAACTTTTTGTGCTACCTCGTTTTTTCTCAAACATCACTCCAGGAAGGTATTACTTTTGTTTTCCTTTTACAGAACAGCAAACGAAGGCATAGAGGGGTTAACTAACTAGCTCAATATGATACCGTATGAAGTGGTAGGACTGGCTTGTAGATGGGGGAGTTGGGTTGGGGAGCGGACAGCTCCCGACACCGTCAAACCCGGCGAAGCACGACCCGGGCTGGCCCAACCTGGTAAGCCCCCAGCGCAAAGAAGTCCTGCCCAGGGAAACACAAAACAGCACCCTCGCGCCTCAAACCTCCGTATTTAGCTGAGCCTCCTTTTTCTCTCCATACGAAACTCCGGTAGCTGCTGGCCCCAAGCACATTTCGGGAAAGTTCGGAAGGTTCCTGTGGAGCTGATCTGAACCACCAAAACCAAGGCAAAGATGGCTGCTACGCTGTCTTCCTGGGGCGGAAGTACCCCCGACTACCAGGAGCTCCGGGACTACACTTCCCAGAATTCCCCAGTACTGCCTTCCTAGCGTGGCAAGTGCCGACGACTACAGGGAGCGTTTGGACCTACATTTCCCAGAATTCCGCCGGGAAAAATATTTACAATCTGGCCTTACTGTAGCTCAAGTATGTGAGATTACATGGCGCTCTGGATTACACGTTAAAAATGCTGAGGGGCAGAGGAGAGGGAGAAAAACTGGCAACAGTACAGCCCTCTGGGACCACACTTCCTGAATGTCGGAGACGCCTGATGCAGAAGTGGTCAACTCCCTTGAGCTCCTGTTTTCACTTCCCAGAACCCCTCACTTCTCTTTGGACAGTGCTATAGTCTGGATGTTTGGGCCCTCGCCCCGCCCCCACCAAACTTTGTGTTGAAATCCTAACTCTGGAGGTGATGGCATTGGGAAGTGGAGCTTTTGCGAGGTAATTAGATCACGAGGGCAGAACCCTCATGAACAGGATTAGTGCTCTTACAAAAGTGGCCTGAGGGAGTCAGCTATGTGTGAACACAGCCAGGAGACCCATCCGTGAACCAGAGAGGGGGCCCTCGCTAGACAATGGCGCCTTGATCTTGGATTTCCTAGCCTCCAGAACTGTGAGAAATAAATTTCTGTTGTTTGTAGGCTACCCATTTATGGTATTTTGTTATAGCAGCCTGAATGGACTAAGACAGACATGGTCAAGGGGATGTAAGTCCATTGCCTATCACAAAGTCTTCTTGGTAAACTCTAGAAAGCCTCACAATAGAAGTAAAAACAAACAAACAACACCCCCCTGCCCCAAATCCGGGTAGCTCCCAGGTTCTACAGCTATCTTGTGACCAACCTGAAGACTCAGGTCATCAGGAGGTACCTACAGTCTTAACAGTTATGGGGGCGGGGGGTGTCAACAAATTTTTTTGGTTTAACCTACTGAGTTTTCTGTTACAGATTACCTTGAGGAAAGATGACCTAATATGGTAACTGGTGGCACCAAAAAAAAAAAAAAAAAAGAAAGAAAGCTTATAGGTACCAGATTTCTGATGCCATGTGTACAGAGAAGAGTTAAGATAGGCTGGAGACTGCTATTCTTAGAAAGGCCTGCTTGCAACATGCTATGGTTTGAATGATGATGTCCCCTTGTTGAAGTTTAATCCCCTCTTCTCCTTCCATCCCTTCCACCATTAGTATGCAGCATCTGTCCCTCAAGAGGATGCAGCAACTAGGTGCCATCTTGGAAGCAGAGAGCAGCCCTCACTGTACACACAACCTGCCAGTGCCTTGTTCTTGGACTTTCTGGCCTCCAAAAGTGTGAGAAATCAGTTTCTATTGTTTATAAATTACCCAATCTGGTATTCTGTTATGGCAGCACAAACAAAGATACAAGGTTAACCCTTGACTGGTATCTGGAAGCTTAGATTTTGGTAGGATTTCCACAATTCCTTGATAAGAGTGGCTACTGTGCATAAACTATTTATACAATGTGGTTTACACTGACTACCTACTTTCCTTCCGAGAGTCTTGAATTTTGGCTAGGGAGAGGTTGCCTACGTGACCAGCTCCTAGTAAAAAAACAAAACTAAACTAAACTAAAAACCTAGGGCACTGAGTCTCTGTTGAGCTCCCCTGCTAGACATTTCACATATGTTGTTACAATTCAATGCTGGAAGAAATTTAGTACATCATGCATGATTCCACAGGGAGAGGACTCTTGGAAACTTGTGCTTGATTTCCTCTGGACTTCATCCCATGCACATTTTCCCTTTGCTCAATTCACTTTGTATCCTTTCACTATAAGAAATCATAGTGAGTATGACAATAATAGAGGGTGTCTTGAGTATTCCTAGCAAATCACAGAATGTGGTGGTGGCCTTAGGGACCCCCAATATATCATGCAAATTGGTGAGTACACAGCATCCTGTGAAAGTACACTCCAGAAAATCAATTGTGAAAACAAGTCTCCCCAATTAATTTGTTGAATAAAGCCCTTTAATCAACTACATAGAAAATATCACCATCATGTCTAAGGAGTATGGAATGGCATCCAAACCTGCTCTTTGTCCTTACTGGTTTCACATCCAAAGAGGGTCTGCTGCTATTATGCTATGATACCTTTTCCTCAGGGAACCTTTTTTTTTAATATCCCCACAACATATGTTTACCCATTTTGTTTCTATATCCAGGATTTGCCCTCTCCCAGTTATAGGTTAATGCTTAAAAAAGTGTAGCATGCATTAATTGTAAAAATTCTGTTGCTCACACTCATCAATTTATCTGTGTATTCAAACACGCAGAGACTTTTTTTGTTTTTGAAATTTGCTCCCAGAGTCCCTTACTTAATTTTGAGCTTATGTGCCATATAACCACATAGAACAACCATATAATATTGAGGCTTTAACTGTAAGGGGTTATTATTCAGTATTTTTTCAAATTATATTGTCCATAATTTACTGCTTTGGTAATACTGATGTTCAATAAGAAATTAAAACATAACTTATGGAATTATAAAATAGAAAAATACTACAAAATGCTCACTGCTGGAGAAAATCACTAAGGAAGGATATCCCTGTACACATTATCTTGTACACAACACATTCACTCGCAAAGATTTACACTACAAAGGCTATAATCTCTGACCTCCCAACGCCCATATTATGTATTTCTCCTGTCATTACAGATACCTGCCATCATTTTAATGGCTTCAGGTTAATACAGGAATGACTATATCAAAATTCAAATTCCTACAGAGGAACACATGCTTCCATTTTAAATAATCAGTGACATCATTGATATGTTATTTATATTTTGGCATTTTAATCTCATAATCATAAATTCAAATTATATAATTTCCAAATCAAAGAGATGTACAACCTATATTCTGTTATATACTCCTTTCCCAAAACCATGCTTTACTGCTACCAATAGGGAAAAGCATGTAAATGTCAATCCTGCCCCAATAATACATTTGATAAAATAATCAAATTTCTACAAGGTTTTTTTTTTTGGTTTTTTTTTTTTTTTTTTTGGTATTTGCTTCATGGGTGTAGGGTAAGAATATGGTATAGCCCTTACTTGAGAAGTTTTGATAAGAGAATACTACAGTAATAGGAAGGCAATCATTTCAAAATCTGGATGGAAATACAGAGTTAGAAATCAAATAAATTCAAGGTTAATAAAGGTTATTTTTTTATCATTGGTTAACAACTTCTGACACTTTAAAAGTGTTACAGTAAACCCCTGCCTTAATGTTTATGGATAAAAATTCAACTGTGTAATATTCAGTAACCTGTTGTTGTAAGGACAATAAGATTTTTCAGTATGCATTGTCAGAAAAATCACAAAAGATAGTTCAATTTATACTGTATGCAACCCTTGGATAACTGGACAGGTCCCCAAACAATAAGAACCTAACTTGAGACCAGAGGCTAGAGGTAGGACAGGAGTCAACTGCAATAGGGTAATACCATACTAGTATTGTAGACCGCAGTATTCAGTGGTTTTCTGCATTTCAACAAATGCTTATTTCCCTGAATAATTTTATTTTGCAGGTTTCCTCCTTTGGATACGATTTTCAAACACTGTACACTTATTCCTTTTGATTCATTTAACAAATACTGATCACACCTCTAAGCACTAGTCAATGTTAAGGCTGTATAGATTCAGCAGCAAAGTTCCTTCCCCAGTGGAGCTTATAGTTTAGTGGATATCAATTCTGACACCCTCATCACTATACTTTTGTTAAAAGCCAAACCAAACTCTTTTCCTAAGTCCTATCTCCTAAGTGACTTCTGGTAAATGCCAAAGTTCTGACTGAAGTCCTTACTGTACCATTTACAAGGGTTCTCAGCTGTGTGGTCTCTGGACCACTGGGATATGTTGAGTTATTGCTTTAAACACTGACTTACATAAAACAAACATTTTCTCTCCTGTGAAACCTGATTATAAGAATTCAGGTTGTGGCAGGGCGCGGTGGCTCATGCCTGTAATCCTAGCACTCTGG